AGAGCAGGGAGCCCGATGCGGGACTCGATCCCAGGACCCTGGGATCATGACCTGAGCTGAAGGCAGTCGCTTAACCAACTGAGCCACCCAGGCGCCCCTGTATGGGCTATTTTCTATATTAAATATAACTGTGAACATTTAAATATATCCAGGCTCACAGATCATCACCAGTCTAGTGTCACCTTATACACATACAACATCTTTTCCAAATTAAGGTGTGTCCTTGTGGGAGAAAAAGGGAAATACTGGAAGTGTAGATTTAAAAATGATCTGTGAGAACACCTGCCAAAAAGATTTAGGTCAAACACAACTCCCAGTTTCAAAAGCTACTCTGTTTGATATTTTCATCATCTGAAGTAGAAATACAATCCCTTAGGAGAGAAGAAAAAAAATTTACTATTTTTAAGAACTCTGTCAAGTTCAATAACATGGTTTGAGAAAATATGGCTCTCTCTGTAATAAGATATCACTGGGGAAAAAAGTTTCCTTTAAGCTTTTCGCTGCTAGTCATTCGGGGGGAAAAAATAAATCTAAATAGCTAAATCACTACATCAAAATAAATTCCAAATGGGCCTAAAATTTCAATGTGAAAATATAACTATCAAAGTAATAAAAAACAGTATGAAAAACTATTATAAAGGTCTTGGGAATTAAAGGTCTTTCAAAGGATGATACACAAGACAGAAATTATAAAAGAAAATAACAATTAAAATCTTTAAAGATTTTGAATAGCAACTTAAAAGATAAATCATATATATATAAAAACTTGACAACATGGTTAAAACATGTGAGAGAGGAAAAGGGCAATGTCCTTTATGCACAAAAAGCTCATAAGAACCAACAGTCAAAAGAGGCGCCTGGGTGACTCAGTCAGTCGAGCATCCAACTCTTGGTTTAGGCTCAGGTCATGATTTCAGGGTCATGGGATCAAGCCCAGCATCAGGCTCTGTGCTCAGCAGGGAGTCTGCTCAAGGATTCTCAATCTCTCTCCCTTTCTCTCTACCCCTCTCCATGGCCCCTCCCCCCACACTTGGACACACACTCTCTCAAATAAATAAATCTTAAAAAAAGAAGAAGAAGAATAAATAGATCAACACTAAATTTCCAGTACAACAGGCCAAGAGAGAAACTGAATTCACAGTCCAGAAATTTTCACCTGAAAAAGATTTCAAATCTTTATCGTCTAATCAGGTCCCTCCTCCCTAAACAGAGCACAAGTCATGTAAAGCATAGAGCCATTGCCTCAATGTGCTACAAATTCCCAGAACTTGAATTTGCAGGCCAGCTCATGAATCCTTCATAACAGAAGCAATGTGCAATCTTACAGATAATCAGCAAGAAAGACTGGGAAAGCATGCTGGAGAACAGGGGTCATGGGAAAGTTGATGAATATTCATGACGTGATTATCTTTCTGTATTCAAGCAATAAATAACTGTGCCCCATACAGTATAGTCGATCTGTACTTGTGGCAATATATTTGTAAAGGAAAGAATAAAACCAACAATGGAGTTTGTGTAGTCTGACTTGTCCCCTCCCTCTTCTGGAAGAATACAGAATTACTCCACCTGGCCAGATCCATGCAGCTATCAGTGAGGTTGGTAGATGAATTAAAGTACTCTCTGCTGGCAGCCAAAACCAAGTCAATACTTCTTTCATAACTGACCCTGTACTGGGTTTTCCCTTTATGGGCTACACTAGCTGGTGGGTTTATTGAACAGGCGCTGCAGTGCATCATCTGCCCAGCTAAGTGGATATTTTCAAGGCGACTGGAACACAAAAGGCTTTCTGTAAATATCTGGGGAAAAGAAGAAACTTTAATTAGTTAAAGAGGGCAGATTCAGTTCTCAACAAAATGAAGACTCTGATATCCAAATGAAATAAATTAAAAATACATCCATCCTACAGGTAGCAGGTGCACGACCCTGTAAATGCACTAAATGACAATGAAGTACACTGTAAGTAGTTAATTTTATGTTATGTGAATTTCACCTCAATAACCAAATTCATCTTTTAGGAAGAAGTAACTTAACAGAACAAACCAATATGAAGCCTAATACAGTTGACCCTTGAACAGCACAGGAGTTAGGGGTGCTGAACTCACATGCAGTCAAAACTCCCCATATAACTTTTGACTCCCCCAAAACTTAACTACTAATAGTCCACTGTTGACCAGGAGCCTCACCAATAATATGGACAGGCAATTAACACATTATTTTGTATTTGCTGTATTCTATAACTGTATTCTTACAATAAGGTAAGCTGGAGAAAATACTAAGAAGAAGAGAAAATACATTTAATATTGTACTTATCAAAAACAAACAAACAAACAAACCCACATATAAGTAGACCTATGTGGTTCGCACCCATGTTGTTCAAGGATCAACTGTATCTTAATGTGTTACAAGGAATGTCTGAGTCAAACTATCTGAAATTCATACTCGTTAAAAACAGGATTCTGTCCCATACTCAATAGGGTCCACTCTGCTTAAACTATAACCATTGAATTTTTTAAAGAATATCTTTGAATACAACACATAAAATTTCTAACTGCTTAAAGCATCTGAATTCAGTCTTACAGACTAAACAGCCAAGCTATAAATGCAACATTGATTTTTTTTCCAATCTGCAGACTAAAAACTATTTAAATAAAACAAGAGCCACTGATGGAAGGTATTCGTGCAAATATCATTGTATTCTACTGGCAACTAATAGCATCAATTAACATAAAATTTATTGTATAACTGAGAATATTTAGTTATTACTTAGTCTAGAAAAGTCTTAAACAAAGAGATCCTTTAAATATACACTAATAATGTCAATATGTAATTAGTATAAGAACTTCCCCACGAATGTTCACCCCTATTAGGCCTCTGCTGGATGAGGATAGCACAGAAATAGAAGCGAGAGATGAAAAGCAGATTTCATGAAGAATCAAGAATCTTCTTACAATTAAGACTACCCAGTTTTCATAGGATCCCCTTATTTTCACTACTTTCTAGGCTTCTGGGGAAGGTAGTTATTTTTAGACAGGCCTTCATTAAAATGACTATGATGAGAATAAAATTACTAATAATCTACAAGCGATCTGCTACAAAATACCTATTGTGACAGAAAGCAAATTACTAATGAGCAACGCTAATCATTTATATCTGACAGGTGAAAATGGCTTACTCCAAGTGACCCAAATGACTCAGATATGACGGTTTCTCTATTCCTTTGGTTTATTCAAGTAAGCCATAGTTAATGCCCGGTATTGAGAAATACAACTCACTCACTCTAAAATTTAAGTTTTTGCTAAAATGAACAATATAGATTTCTGCTCTACATGCTGTAATGAAACCTTTAACTTTCTCAAAATTGTGCCATTGAGCTTTCAAATCATTTTCCAAGATAGCAACCCCTAATATAATAGCCAAAAGTCAGTAAAACAACATAGCATAACTTAAAAGTTACTAAAATGATATTTAAAATGTAAGTTTGAAAAAAAATGTAAGTTTGCCAAATCCATATTACCTTCCTCTAGAACCATTTCAAGCTGTTATGATATGCTTTCAAATGTTTCTCGAAGGAGAGAGGCTAATGGCCAGAAGTCATTAAAATATCAAAGCCTAATAAAAAGGTGTTAAAATGTAACAAAAGCAATTTAATATGTCAGGTTGTTATAAGCTAGTTCAAGTGTAATATATTTATGCCAATTTTCCAATCAGAATCAGAAACAGTAAATAGCAAAATAATGCCATTCCAACTTAAAAACACTACTGCAGACATATAAATGATGGTTAGGCTTTGGAGCCCATGTGAATATAGATGTTCTCCTGGAATTGGAATTCAAGTTTCACTTTAGACACAAAAGGGGAAGTTACTGGCAGTTGTATGTACATGGTCTGAGACTATAAGCATCAATGTAAACTTCACACTCATTCATTAAAACCTGAAGTCCGAATATAAAACCGTTTCTCAACAGTCTATATTAGCACTCTTTTGTTAAAATCACCTTGAATAAAAATACCAACCAATTTCACAAAATAGAGACCTATTTTTATAACTCATTTTATCAAGGGGTCACGCTTTGCAATGTCAGAGCACAGCAACGTAAGAAATATCCTATAGAATTTCACGTTTGGCTTATGGACAGAAAAACTCAAAATGGAAACCTGCGTTTAAATTATATCTCATTAAAAATTGGTTAGTTGGATAATTTTTCCACATGAGCTAGGAGTAATTTGGTAAGACATATACCTTCCAAAAATATTAATTAAATCCCCCTGGGTTACACTCCTCCATCAATTAGCAGCCATTTCTTAAGTATCCTTTGTGTTCCGGGCATTACAATATACACTGGGGGATAGGAGGCTGAACATGAATATGATAATGCCTACCTAGGGGCTCATGACCAAAGGGAAAAATCACACATGGAAACCAGTTACTGCATTTGAAAGAAAGACTATATAATAGAGACAAGTTACATGAAAGGACAAAGGCAGGCATCCTGGAGGGCATAATTAGTGAAGTGGGTGCTGAAAATTACCAGGAATTTTCAGATCAAGGAAAGAGGACTAGATCCAAGCACAGGGAACAATGCAGATGGAGTCACGGGACGTGAAGCAGCATGGTGCGTGGAGAGTCAGGGCAGATCTGGTTGACACGGTGGAGCAGGGGGGACACTGTGTCCCCTGTACTTACAGAGTGGCACGGGGGAGAGTGGACACGGAAGCTCGATCTGCTGTGGCCTTCTATGCCATGCTAAGAAGTATGGTTACTTTCTGATACAGACATGGAACAAGCAGCAAATTTAAGAAGGGGAGTGTTACAAAAAGGTGTTTTAGAAGAATGCTCTGAATCAGTGTAGATTGGAAATATGGAAGCAGGGAGACAAGTTAGGAGGAATTGCAATTTAGCAGAGATAGGACAGATTTGAAAAACCTTTCCCAGCTACATCAATCAAATAGGCATTAGTGACCACCAAGACTATGGTAGTGAGAGGAGTCCAGGAGGAGTCTGTTTCCTAGCTGAGGATTAGCTTGCCGAATAACCTCTGTTGCAGTGAACGAAGATTGGGGCGGGGGGTGGGGAGACAGGAGGTGAGATATGCGAGTGCTCAACTTAGAAAGCACTACTCTACTCAATTCACCGCTATGACTCAATAGTATTACGTATAAGTGAGGCTTATGGTCACCATCTCTGTGTCCAGGAAACACACTGCAACAGCCAAACTTCCCAAATTAAAAACAAGTAACCTTCCATGCATCGAGTTACCTCATAGCAAGCATCAGAATCCAGACAGGTGTAAACATTCTGCTGCATAGTTAACATGTCTTGCAGCAACATTCTCCAATGAGACTCACTGACAGGAGGCTCCCTGGTGGGGAGACAAGAAAATAACTCATGAAATTGCTCTTCAGTTGGCCAAAAAAAAAAAAATGGTATCACCATTCTATATGCCACACCGCTCCCAAATGATCAATAGGAAGAATCTCATTTGAATTTCCAGGAAAAAACATCGATCGGAGGGAAAAGTTGAAGGGCTCTGTATCAATGCTAGAGATGCTGCCTGAGCCACCTCGGCCACAGAACTAGAACAGCATTACCGTGGTAATAGCAAAGGTAAACCGAGTGTGAGTTTCCAAGATAAAATAAAGCACAGTAAGATAAAGCAACTGTGATCAAGCAGGAAAAGCACTCGGAGACAGAACTGGTTTCAAATCCATCTTTATCACACTGCAATCCCCACAGGGGATCTTCTTAACTCCAACTACACGTGCAGACCTGGAAGGCAACTAGAGCCCACCCCTGACATCAGTCGAGAGGCTGGGGACCCCAGCTCATCTACAGGGCAGCGCTAGTGGCTCTCCTCAGCGGGAGTCCTTGCAATAGTCCGCAGAGCGACTGACCAAGTGCCGCAGGGGTTATGTTCATCCCACGGGACAGCCCAGGTGCCAGAAGACAGAGTCCTACAGGGGAGTGGCAAAAGCTGCCCCATCTAATTCAGGAAGGAGTTTCATGCCCCTCCAAGAACCAATATCTTTTGTAACAATTCCATAGGCACAGTTCTCAGGGTCTCCTCAAAGACATGCCAGTGACCACACTCAGGAAAGCCCAAAGCATAAAGCCCCTATCAGGTTTTCCAGTTCATTTCCAGTTCAGAAGCAATTTACCAACCAGGGATCAGGTTTACACAACCAATGAGGCATACACAGTCTTGTTGATCAAATAGCATTTTACGTTGGGATCCAGGGTTACAGAGTTAGAGGATTAATGGTTCAGATTCTCCTGCAGCAGGGAAAGGGTTTTGTTAACAAATTCACTGACAGACACATATTAGCTGCATGATCGTGAACACTTAATGTTCCTGAATTTCAGTTTCCTCACTTAAAGCCCATCTTGGAGAGTGATAAGAAATGGAGGAGATTAATTCTGATAAAGCACAGGCATTGAAGCAAGATGTTCCTAAGTATAAAAACAAGCTCAATTACCTGTACAGCTCTGAATATGTCTCTTAATTTCTCGGAGCTAGATTCCCTTTTTGTACGTTGTGAGGATTAACTAAAACTAGAATGTATGAAAAGACACTCCCCCCATTTTTCTGGTATAAAATAGTATTCAATAAATGTTAATGAACGAATCTGAAAGTTACAAACACATTTCTTTGGTTTCTATAGTTACATAAATGATTACTAATATTGTTTAGCAGAAGGGAGAAAGTGCTGTAATTCTTTCTGCTTCCCCCAAAAGTTCACCTTTGTTGACTATATATGAATTTGGAATCATTATTTATGTTTACTTGCTAATCTTGACGTTCTACATAATCCTGAATATCACTGTTTGAAAGGGCAGATTTTATTTTGTTTTGTGCTTGTCAAATACCAACTGTCAAATAACAACTGGATGCTTCCTTCCCATGTACCTTTCCCTCATTTATGCATTAAAAACAGGGCACATAGACTGTAAGCATATAGTAGTATTGCCAAGGGAAAAGCATGTATTTGAGATCATTCCTATGAAATTTCTGGTCTTCAGGAACTTTTTCACCTAAAATTTTTAATAAGCATATGCTTCATTTACTTATAGTATTTTATATTACACAAAATGAATAATTACTTCTATCCTTATGCAATAAAGCATAAGAGAATACATTTTTTCCTCAGCATACAAACAGAAAAAACTGACATATTTTCATGTCTTCCAGGACAATCCCTGAAGTGTGTCCATTAGTTAGACCTTGATATGTGAACTCTTTGGGTGAACTTCAAAGAACTGGAGGGTTCTTTCAGATTTGGCTTGCAGGTAAGTTAAGTTGCAAAATGCTTGATGAAGTGAGTGTCCATCTTGCACCAGCTGGATAAAATCAAACCTAGGCATTGTCTAGCTGAATTCAAATTCTCATAGCCCAGCTGTTCTTCTGGAAGCCATCAACACTGGAACAGATGGTATTAATGTTTTCTCACACATGGCTAGCCGTAAGTACAGGTTCTAATTAAAATAAATTATAAGACATTACTTACAATGGCCTTTTCAGAATACATTCAGTAAATAGGAACCAAGAGTAGAACCTGAAGGCACTATACTAGAGAATTGCAAATTAACAGAGAGATCCCTAAATATAAACATGATGTATTAGTTACAGCCTTGGAACAGAGGTATATTTTCCAAGGAGAAACAGTATTGCACTCATGATGGTAAAACTTGGTTTGGGCAGATTCAATTAAATCTCCTACCATTTAGAATATCCATAAGAATATTCCATAGATGCTGAAGGCCAAGCCATGGTAGCATATATGAAAAAAATTAAGATTTACTTCAAATTAACTAGTTTGAAAAAAAGAGGCCATATTCTCTTACATATTCAGAGTAGAACACCATGAGCAGAGATTAACTTCAAAGGCTTCAGAAGTATTTGAGGAACTCAAGGAAAACACAGGAAGTAATCTAGCTGTAACAGCAAGGCTTTCTTGAAGAGTAGGTTCTAGAGTACAGTCAGCATGATCAGAAATATCGACCCATTTGTTTCTAGTTGTAAAAAAAATCTTAAGAGTTGAGTTGCCAAAACCTTTTAAATTATTCATTTAATAATTATTGAGAGAGGGCCATTGACATATATGGTCCCATATTAGATGTATGGGAACTATAACACTTGTCCTGGAGAAGCTTATGATCTTGAAAGGAACATAAGGCACAGACATCAATAATTATAGTACACTGTTGAAAAAGACAGATAGGGAGAGGCAGATACAAAATGCCAGGGAATTTCTTAGGAAGGAGAGGTCCTTGAGCGAGCCACTCCTAGTTGCATTCCATGAGCAGTTTACTACTGTTGACTGGGCTCAGGATTCCCGGAGCCCTCTAGGTGGTGCATGTTTAGCTCTAGTAGGGCTTGGGAAGTAGAGCTGTCTCTATTTGCAATGACATGGCACGGTATACAGAAAATCCTACGGAATATCCACACAAAAAAACCAAAAACAAAAACAAACCCTACTGGAACTAATACAGATTGGAAGACACAAGCTCAACATATACCAAAATCAAAGATAATATATCAACATTTGTACACACTAGGAATGAACAATCCAAAAATGAAATTAAGAAAATAACTATCTATGATAAAAAAAAAATCCCAGGAATATTTTATAGTACACAAATATCCATAGCTTTATCTATAAAAACCAAAACTCAAAACAACCCAAAATGTCCATAAACAGGTGAACAGGTCAACAAAGTGTGATAAATCCATAAAGTGGAATACTACTCGATAAATAAAATGGAATTATTATTGACCCATGATACAAAATGGATGAATGACAAAATAAGTACACTGAGTAGGAGAAGCCAAACAAACAAAAAATGTATACTGGATGATTCCATTTACATAAAATTATAGGAAATACAGAGTAATATATAGGAATAGAATATAGATCAGTAGTAGTCTGGAGAGGGGATAAGGGGGTGATGAGGAGAAGCAAAAGGGAGGGGAACATAAAGGGGCAAGAAGCTTTTAAGGGTGACATATTTATTACCTCGATTGCAAAATGGTTTCATGAGTATCTACATATATCAAAACTTATCAAATTCTACACTTGAAACATAGAATTTATTGTTGGTCAATTATAACTCAATGAAGTAAATAAAAAGAACAGTACTTTATTTTTAATCATATATAAGTATCAATTAATTTTGTTCATTACTTACTTCCGACCAGTGTGCCTGGTCAACCTAACCATCAGCTTGCGTGCCTCTTCTGAGCTAGACTGAGTGTTCTTAACAAACGAAACTGGTTTCTCAAGTCCATGTTTCTCCAAGAGTTCCGACACACTAAAAGTGAGAGAGGAATTTTTTAAAGTCTTGCTACCAAACAAAAAAAGCCTAAGAGTCTTGAACATACAAGTAGCACTTAGGTGTTTAGAACTAAAACCAAAAAGTAGCATATAGAATGAGCCAATTTTACATAGTGCATTAATTCTCAGCAAAAAAAAAAAAAAAAGCTAACAATTATATATCAAATCTTATTTCCTGTACTTTTATTACAAAACCCATTTTGTTTAAAGTATGACATATCTTTATCTAAAAATATTTTTTTATTATTTTCCTCTATTCTAAAAGCATCAAATCAGTAAAACAAGCCAAATCTATCATTTCAATACTCAGCTTTAACTCTGAACAATCCTACTGAGTAATCTGTTATAGGCAAGGTTGTTAGAAAAGCAATAAAGAATTTTAGAGTTGGAGCCACAGAAACATCACAAGGCTCAATATCCCTCCAGAATCTATTATATAAAAATACAAACTATGTCACAAATTTTGTCCCATATGAATCTTCTTGAGATATCTCATTCCCTAATCATCAGCATCATACATATATGATGGTTGGCCTCACCAAATCTCACATTTTTGAAATAACTACTACTGGGTTTATAGACTGTGACTGGCTAGAATTCAGTAGCTTGTCATGAAGACAGGTTTCATGGGTCATGTCACCCGACATCGTGTATGCTAAAACATTTTTCAACGATTAGTAGCTACGAGGTGGAACAGAAATAAAAATTCTTACTTTAAAAGGTCAGTAACTTAAACTAAACAGGGAAAGACATGGGTATCATCCAGAAACTGACTGAGTATAACTGTTTCCTTGAGGTAGTAAGAGCATAATGTGACATCAGGACCACTCATGGTTACACCCAGGAACATACCGTGAAATATACTGTTTATTTCACCATATCTTTTTGAGATCACTCTTCTCAGTTTCATTAGAGGAAAAAAAGGTAATCATGCAAATTGTAAGGAATGAATCTATATTGACTTAATCCACTAAGTTTTACTCAAACTATGTTCAACTTCTCAGGGAAACTGGGGAAAGGAGAGACACAGCCAAACTAAAATAACCAAAGCTTGAAAAGAAAGAAAGAGCTTGATTTACTAAGAATTTTTCAAGGGGAAAAAAAAACCAACCATATAGCTTTCAGGACACAAAGTAACAAGCAGCAAGGTAGTAATAAAAAGAGGAAACAGAGGTCCCAAGGAAAAGTGAACAATTAATTCTTCATTCAACTCCCATACATACATGGCACAAAAACACTGTTTCCTTAAATACAACTTGAAATATTTTTATACTCAAGTCCCTTAAATTGAATGAATAAAACTTCTAATTAGTAGACTCCAAATTATTATACTTTACTATTCATATCACCACTATAAAGTGATGGTATTACCTATAATTCTATAATTATGTGTTGGAAAAAATTTGTTATCCCTAAAATTTCATTTTTAATACAGATATTTAAAATTACTCAAGCATCTTCATATACACATATAAATACTAGTATACAACATCTGACTTCCTAAATGGCAAATTGGGAATTTCAGGCTCCAAGACAGAAAGTTTAATGCTTCATTTTGACAGTGAAGAATATTACTATAGAGTTACTTGAAGGCTCTAGTGCAGTTTGATTGAATCCAGATTCCAATCAAATGTAATATGCCCAAAAAACGGAAGTCAGGAGTATAATAAATATTGTTTGCTGATAGACACAATAATTTCTGCAGGAACTAACATTTCTTGTGTACCTACTGCAGAGGAGGCACTTTAAATGGTTAATCTAACATTAATTCCATTATCTCACGGGTTAGATACTTTAAAGAAGAAAACCTGGGGTTCAATCACACAGCTTCTCAGTGGCAATGCCTACATTTGAACACAGGTCTACCAGTCTTCAAAATCCAGGCTCTTATTACTCTACCATAAGCTGGCAGGACATTTGTATTAAGAAAATTCACTCCCAAGAGAGTCAAACAAATAGGAAGTCAAACTGCAAATGACCATTAGACATATGAAAAGTAATGTTTCTGGACAGACCGCCTCTATCAGCACAGAGCCAACAGACGAACATTTCTCTCACCTGAGAATTTGTTCCAGTTGGTCTACCATGTCATGAAGAGCATTTGTTACCTCTGTTTTATGACTAAAAGATTAAGAGAAAAAAAAATAAAGTTTTAGTAGTAGCTTTTTACATAAAACACAATACTCAAGTGAAAAAAAGAAATGATGTTTCCCTTATGGTTAATATACAACAATATTTCACTGCTGGGCAAAATTTTGGTCTTATTTCCTGAACGCCTTCAGCATCTTTCATGACTTAAGAGCTTAAGATAAAAAATACTGGACTAGAAGAATATTATCTATTACTGATTAGTGTTATATGGACAACTATTTCCTGAAGAACTTTTAGTTCAATTCTGCTAAAAGGCAACAAAGCATTGGGG